GGACTAATAAAAGTTGTAGCTTGGCAGCAACACATGCATGAAACAGGAGCAGAGATATAAGAGTTCCCTTCTTCCCAGTAAGGGAGACACCATGGAAAACTAAGACCTGTTGTGAATTTTTTTAAAGAGAGAAAGGAAAACCTGTAGAACTCAGGAATGGCTTGTGGATTCCTCTCTAAAGAGAACCAGGCAAAGGATCTACCATGCCTTGGAAACCTGTCAGCCCCTCTAATGCCAAAAAACAGAGCAAGGACTAAACAGACCAGGCCAAAGAAAAAGAGAATAGAGAGTAAGCATCTCCATGGCAAGCCAGTTCAATAGCATCTAAATAAGGGATTTAGGATCCTAACTTTAGGCACCCAGGTTTGAAAATTTTGGCTTTTGTTTTTAAAGTTTTGTCTGCATGGGAGTCACTTTTCTATTGGATACAAAGTTTATTTGACTCTTCCAGAACTTAAAACTTTGGTTCTGAAAAGTTTTAAGTATTTCAAACATGATTCTTAGGCCACTAAGTCCTACTGTGCAAGCAAAGAACAAGATCCTGGGATATAGTAAGAGAGAGAAAAAATGAAATTCAAATACAAAATATAAATGAAGGTTGGAATTGTCTTTGCTTTCGATAAAGCGAATATGGGACAGACCCTGAGGTCCTTAGCCAGTTTTTACTGAGTCCTTACTCAGGCAAAATTTCTAATGATGTCATGCAGCTGGGAACAGAGTACGTTGGCTTGGATCGAAATCACATGGCCTGTATAAGCAACTACGTAGAAAGATGTAGGTGACTGAGTTAGCAACTCTATAGTCTCTCTCAGTGTTGAGAATAGAGCAAACTCTTATATGTAGGTCTCTCCCTGTCACAAAACAAGTAGGGCAGAGAAGCCAAATCCTTCAATGAGAGTTTGCTTGAATAAGGGCTGATTTAAAAACTCAGCTGGGACCTCAAGATTTGCCCCAGTATTTGTCTCACAAAATGAGAGGAACAAGAAGACAGATTATGTCTACTGTTGATGGAAAGCCTGTTCTCGCACAATATACTATATTGGGCCAACTATTGCAAACAGCTCATCTTCTGGTAAAGGTAAAGCTGGGATAATGTAAAATTTAATGACTGTATTGATTAAATGCCACAAAATTGAACCAGGCTAATAGAACACCTTGAGACAAGGTCTAGAGATCACAAATGAATGAAATTACAAATGCCTCCGATTTCAATAGGTGAGCCATTTTGTATGTACTTTTTATGACTTCTTGAAGAGTAGGATAAAACAAAGTTACTACATTTTTGTCGTACTGAAAGTATTCTGCATCCTTTTGGCATCAGTAATAGGGTCTTACTAAAGGCTAACATGAGATGTCACAGAGATGAGTCAATATTCTGTGTTTAGGTGCTTTACTCATTTTCCTGAATGACATGGTGGAAAACATTCAGATGCTCATTAAGTTTCCAGCCATTCCTAAACAGCAACAGATGGTCAAGAAAAGTTTCTACAATATGTCACAGCTGGCTTCACCACAGTCCTGGAAATAACTGACTGAAGTTCTGTACTCTCTGTGGCACCTTTGATAATGAAAGGGATGAAAGAGATCAGGAAGCACTCCCAAAACATCCATATGCATATAGTGAATGAGCCAAGGAATATAATTAATAACTTCTTTGTCACCTATACTGAATTCACACAAGATACTAATGTGCCTTTCAGATGCTGCCTCTCATTCAGAGTGAAATCATGTTCAACCAATCTCTAACTGGCTATCTTGAAGGTATACTGAACTGCTGCATTAAATAACTAATTGAATAATTGCACATTATGAAGTTGAAACTTTTCTACTGACTGATGCTTATTAATGTTGTAAGTGACTTTGGCTACTCTTTCCAAATGATCTTAATGGATCCCTTTACAAATGTACCACATCCAGCACAAGAAAGATAAGAGGCAGTTTGAAAGATTCACTGATTGAAATGACCTGTGAGTTTAAAAGTTTACACAAAGATTGCTTTCAAACTTATACCATAAACAGTGTACTTGCTATTTACAGTTGCATACTGTGTTTTATTATACAGCCTGCCACAGTGGACAGGTTCAGAGGAGATTATCTGAGAAGAATTTGTAGATGAAATGACACATTTAAGGAACAGAAAAGGTTATACCTCATATTTATCACATGATATCCATAAAACAGGAGAATGCCTTGGTGTTGTGTACTTCTCTTCTCCATCAGAGTTACAAGAATGGAAGACATTAAGTGAAGCTTTCTTAGAATTTGGTGGTACAAGAGAAAGCCTCCCCTGCTCTGCTTCTCATATGCCATGAAGAAGCCTATGTGTATCAGTTCGAAGACTACCAGCCAATTCCAAGGGGATTTGTAACACATGCTCCTCAGTCATCTGCATCCTTCTCCATAATATACACTGATGTAGGCCATGTTACTGTAAATTTGATCAAAGGCAATATACATGTACCTTTATTATTTCTTCATTCACCTGACTAGCTCATCCAAGGTAGCTTCCTATGACTTAATGTTCTCTTGATCCTCTCTTGGGGATTTAGTTTTCCACTGATAGTGCCATGCTCCCCTGAGGGTTTGGTCAGGGAATGTAACTTTAAATGGCATCCAATGCTCCATAAGAATCTGTGCATTTTAGATACAATGCCAGTACCTGTCCTACCACTGCTTCCCACCTTTGGATGGCAATGGCTGTCTGCAGGCTCCGCAGTGAAACAGCATTCAAAGGCATCTCAAACAATGCCACACACATCCAGGCAGGCTTTTCACCACCAGGGCCCTGGTCTGTTCTATATAGATCCTTATACCATAGTATCTGAACACCTAGAGTTCAATGTTGAACTGGCTGGGAATTGAACCTGGGCCTCCTATGTGGCAGGTATGAATTCTACCACTGAACACTACGTTATTCCAGCAGAAGTCAGCATCACCCCAGAGGCTTAATGCTGGAAAACATCTATTCCACAATATCCAGAACTTCATGCTTCCCCCATTTCTCACATCATTAATCTTTTGTCTCTCAAGTGGACCTATCTACCACCCTCTTTGTGCTGCCATCATCTCCAAAACGATAGTATGTGAAGAGACAAAAGCACAAATAAAGGCTGAAGGTGACTGCTTTCTCATAAGTTTGAAACAGCCGTATACAAAGTGCACTAGGGAATTTTTAGTGTGCTGCAGCAGGGTCCACACAGGCAGTGCACGGCAGGCTGCAGCACTGTAGATTCACACCCCAGCTTGCCGCACACTAAATGTTCAACTAGACATTCCCTGAGAGACATGTTTAAATTAGTTTTAGATTTTTTGGGGTCCAGCTGTCAGCGACAGTCACTGGAGTCTTTGCAGATCACCTGTCGTAGTATTGTATCAATAACCACGAGTCAAAGGGTGCTCGAAAGAGAATTCATTATTGTGGATGGTCCCCTTTAGAAATCTAGAAAAAAAAGAAAAGAAAATTCCTTTCTAGGAACTGAATCCGTACTAGGAGATGTGACTCTGATTTTTTCCAACGAGCTTCATCTTTCTTCTCATTAAAATGTATATGTTGCAATGGGAACTATCTCAAAAGTGCTCATTCTGCTAGCCCCCAGAAGATGTTACCGTAATAAGATCTTCTAGCTTGGTTGGCTCAATCTCAGGTTTTTCAGTGCCCAAAGCCAGTTTTGATAATTGCTCTTAATCTGCTGGCAGTGACCTCCAATTGAACTATATTAAGGACACACTACAAAACAAATGTTATTTCTATACTGACTTTCCAAAGTAGATAGAGACAATCACTAAAAGTGTTTCTTTGTATATATTAAGGTCCCATCTACACTATAAATTTAACCATTCTGAAGGATCCATTTGCAACACGATCTTTCACGACACAGTAAACCATGGTTCTTTCTTACAGAATAGACAGGACCTAACATAATTTCTATCTCCAGGTCCTGCACCTTTCAGTATTAAGACACATAAACCCACATTTTAAAATAAGCACACATGCTCTTGCATGTGTAGGATGTCCAATCAACTCCTCTTATTATTTTCATGTCCAAATGAAAAATGGACACTAAGTTAAAACATTGTGGCACTCGACAACTGTCACTGAGCAAGCTACTGCAAATGTTATACACTTTGAAGGAAAGCCTGGTCCCACTGGTCAAAGGGTGTTTTTACTTTGATGGAGGCAGGATTTCATCCCCTGTATTCAGTGGGGAGAAAATAAAAGCTCTCCATCAGCTGTTCACAGGCCCATGCTGAAAATGGAATATAAGGAAATTCTAAGAGGTTTCATTGTCTGAAAGAATTACCCCTGCCATGAAAGAGAAGCAATCAACTCAGTCAGCTCTCATTCAGAACATTTCAAATCTGCTCACTTTTTATAGTATAATACAGAATGAATCAAACTGAGTTCCAGTATAATTGGCAGCAACTCCCAATGCAACGCCAGGGTTGAACTGACTCCAGGTCTTTTATAATAATTTGCCTAAATATAACAGGCAGACTGGAAGTCAGCAGATAAACCAGTTATTGGTCCACAGATTGTCTGACTGCTTAATGGTAATACTGGATGAAGTATTCTTATTCAAATATTTTGACTTGTCAGTGGAAATTACTAATGAGCAATGAGAGCAGAGACTATTTTTGCTCATAGCTGGTCCTCCACAATTTGTGGATAATGAAGACAGTTCTTTGGCTGTTAGCTTTGCAGGTTCTGTAGGCTATTGTTAATGGCAAATACTAATTAAACTGCAAACAAACATTGATGACAAGCCTCCTGAATTAAATAAAAATGTAAAAAAGACATTATTTTTAAAGGAGTCCAGGTTTTTTTTTCAAAGTAAGCTGACATTTTACTGCACATTAAAGTGTAAGGCATATTGTTCATTCATTCATATATAGATGATCAATTTTCTGTGTAAGGCCTTCATGTGACAAAATCCTTTTTAAAATAAAAAATGTTTAGGAAGATATAAGTACCACTATACAGATATTATGGTTGTATTTACCTTTATCCCGGGGAGTCCAGGAAGCCCAGGAAGACCTGGTTCACCCTATACAGGAAAATTACATAACATTACAGAACAATATTCATTTATAATTGGTATCCAGAAAACAACCAGGTATACACTGTAGTAGGTAAAGTATGAAATCACACACACACACACACACACACACACACACGATTGCTATTCATTTCAGGGATCACAGATACTCAGGCCAACACAATGTACATTAAAGGGCTTGCTAACCTAGAAGTATGACTAAAATGTTTAAACGGAATGCCTAAATTTAGTCTCTTAAACCTACATTTAAGTACCTAAACATTTCCTGTGGATTTAGGAGCCTAACTAGACACACAGGTTGAAAATTCTGGCCAGTATTTTTATCAAAAGAAGAGGGAATAAATAGTATTAATTAAATAATATGAATACTGACATTTACTGCATTTGCAGTAATTCTGCAAAACTGCAATTGCAGATATTTAATTCTATCCCCTATTCAGTTATTGGCTGGATAGGGTGCTGTATAATGTCCAGTTTAACTACAAATGTGGCTCAAAAATTTAATTTAATTTGTACATTTTCAGGGGGATTACTCAATTACAATTAACTATCATTTTTATAGAACCATCAACACTCTCCACATTTCAGTGTAAATGCACACACACGTACACATCCACAACACCACAAAGTACCATAAGCAAATAAACTAGAACTACTTCTAATAAATACCCTGCTTATTTAGCACTGCAATAAAAAAGAACAAAATACTCTACTTTCAAGAAGAAAATGTGTAACAGGAATTGAAGACTGAACACATTCATTCTGGAATGAAGTTGATATTTTTCTATGGGAGAGAAGGACAAGCACAACATTTACATACATACAATCATCCTAAGAAGTTAGTTGAAATGGTGCTGAAATGATGTCCTCTTAGGAGAAGGAAAACGATGAACACCAAAAATCAAAGGGCATTAGGAATATAATAGATGTAATAATTTTGATTTCAAGGACAAAACAATTAGACAGACAGTAGATTTCCAGCTATCACAGAGAGAGACCTGAACCAAAGCCCAGGATCTGAACATCCCTGAATTATAGGGAAGATCAGGTCCAAACTTTGTAGCTGGTCCCTACCTCTTGAACTAAACTCTAGATTCATCCATTCCTGAACTTTACTGAAATCCAGATCTCAATTTTGTGGTTTGGGCCAGTGCATGGAGATTACAAGCACACACAAATTCCTCAGCTTACATAACCAACTGCACTATATTTTTAGGTAATAATATTAAAACGTACTTGAAGAATTTCTAGCAAATTTACAATCTGCCACAACAAAACCAAAAAAAGAATAGTTGATTTGAAAATTGATTTGCCAAACGAAAGAATTGTGAAACATTTTAGGAGGACCCAAGCCCATCTTCCTTGCAGATTTCAGTCATTCCAGAATTTTAACAAATCTTTCTGACTGAAGCTACTGAAAAGGACAATCCACTTTGGAAATTTTAAATGTGAAATACAATGAAGGAATGGAGGACAGGATATCATTTTCAGCAGATTCTATTACCAGTTGATATACTGCCTACCATTGTCTAACAGACACTGAGCCATTACTCCTGTTTAAAGAGTAATTCTCTGAACAGGATGTATTACATTCACTCTTGATATAGTATTAGCCCAAAAGTTCTACTCCATCTTTTTTTTCTTGCATGAAGAGTCAGATATGCTAGTGAAACAAAGATATTAATACTATAATCTGTCAATTACTTTCATTGACGTGGACATGACATGACTTTTTCTCCTTCTGTTTTAAAATAAGTAAAATTCAGTTCTAAATATAAATGTTTAATCATTATAATTAATAGATCTTTTATTATTATTTTATTTGTGTTGCCATGGCATGCAGAGTCCACGATCAGGGCTCGGGACCTCACTGTACTAGGCACTTCACACACATATAACAAAAAGACAGTCCCTTCCTTGGAGAACTCAAATTCTAAGTACACTAACTAAAGTGATTAAACTGTACTCTTCAAGGCAAGATTAAAAATACATTTCAATTACTCGTGTTCTATTATGAAGTTCATTGAAGTTGAATGGACAGTATTTTCATTCCTTAACTTTTTTCAAAATATACGTTTGATATGATTTATGAGATTAAATGACTCCAAAGACAAACAAAAGCTGAATACAAACTCCAGTCTATCAAACTAAAGCAGTCAAATATTCTAAGTTGTTATAGAACATATATAATGTACGTGGGCTACATCTATAACGTATATGGCACACCTATCCTTTTTTCATACATTCACACACAGACGTATTTCATTCAGTCATACACAAATATCCTCACATATGAATCAATACTGAATAAATGCACAACATGGACCAAAACTTAATGTCTTTGCTCTGTCCTTTTTATTATTTTATGGTGCACAATGGGAGTTTTTCATGCGTAAAGACTAAGGCTCCAATACTACATTGAGATCTGGAACTTCAGTGGGTTTCCACACATATCTACTCTAGTGAATACTAATAGAGAATCAAATTCTTGGTATTTAATCAGAGAAAACTCCCATTGGGTGCTGTAAAAATAGATGTACATTCTGAAGGTGTCCTCATAATAGGAAAGAACAAAAGTTTGGGAAATTGACATTTGACACAGTTCATGCCTATATAAACGTTTCTCATTGCTAGTTTTTTTGTGTCTTCATTATATTTACACTCAAATAGTGAATCTCATTTAAATTGTGATATGTAAATGTAGATTGATATGTATTTATCCATCAATCTGTACATGCATGGTATATATATAAGAAACGTCAAACCCTCATTTCATACTTATTACTTATTCACGAAAAGCTCACATTGTCTGCAATGGGAGTTTTGCCTGAGTAAGAACTATAGGATTTAGCCCATATTCTCTATTCACAGGGAAGTAAAAATATAAGGCAAAATTACCCTCTGATCCATAATACAGGTCTTTTATTCACTGCAGTTCAGATCTCTATCAGACATTCTGCACTTGTTTTACATACTGAACTCAGACTGGTGTGACTTGGAGTTCCATGTAGGATGGATTACAGACTACACAACAGAGATCTGCACTTCAGTGAATAAAATACCTTTACTGTGGATCAGAGAGGAGAATTTTTCTCACAGGGTCAAATTTTTAAAGACCAGAAGCAGAAGTCCATATATGTGCATTTGTGCAAGAAACCGGTTAATTGCACAAGCAAACAGACATTTTATGAGCAATAACCTGTTTGTTTTGCACATTCAATTGACAGATATGCTCATGTAAATACAAGTGATTATGAACCTCAGCATCTATTCATTAAAACTTTGGCCCATCTTATTTCAGTGAGAGACTGTTTTTATTTACAGTATTATCTTCACATCAATTTCTTGGTATTACATTTACAGTGATCTCGCAGAGAACATATTTTTGCCTCCAGATTGTAAGGTTTGAAAATAATTATATATGTGTGTGTGTGTGTGTGTGTATACACACATAATGAAGGGAAACATATGGGCTAAGTGGCACAATGCATAAATCCACAAGCCTTTTGCCTCTAAAGTACTGAGTTCAAATATGATTTACAGTAGATCACAAGTGAAATATGTTCTGTGGTTTCAAAGTAGCCACTAGACCACATCACAAAACAATCACTCACTTTAGTCTGACTGGCAATATATGCTCAAGTGTGGCCTGATGCTGAAACTGGAGGGTGTACTGAGGTCAAGACTGAGGTGCATTGGAAGGGCAGTGTAAAGAAATGTGCACAGTCCCTTCTGGTACAGCAAGGTGCTGAAGTACGTTTAAGGATCATGCCCCAATTCACTTGTAAGTTTAAAAAAAGAGAACTATAAAATACAGAGAGAGAATGAGTATTCAAAATATTATGGGCAATGTAAATGTTTGAGACAAAAGCCTGGCACTTTCTTTCTATAACATCATATGCAACCACACAAAGACAAGCTCATCACTTATAAAACTCTACATTAATGTGAAGTTCGTGGCTACTGGTTATTTATCTATATTACATCTATTATATCAAACCTGATTGCATTGGGCAGTGAGATCAGTATCTTGCTAATAAATCACTGCTAGTTGTTCCCTGCCTGGCAGATAGCAAATGAGAGTATGAATCTAAACATTTAAAGTGCATTCTGTAGTTTATTATCCAAGTAGAACATGCAGTACATGATGCACAATGATTCCACAGGTTAAAACTGCTTTCGCTAGCTCTCCTACTCGAAACTGAGCTTTACTAACAAATTTAATTTGCATATCATAATAGTCGTATAGAGTCTGTTACAAATCATTCCGATTAAAACCTGCCAAGTAGAGAAACTCAGCTGCAATTTTGTCTTTTACTGATTTAAAAAAAATGGTTTCTCAGAGTTCCATATGGCCATAAAAAGGAACTGAGTTTTAGAATATAGCTGGCCTGATATTCCCTATATACAGTATATGATTTTACTTGTCCCCTGACCTGAGTACTGGAAAATCTCCAAAGTGTACCTTGCAGATTAAATTTCCAGTTCTCCTGTTGGGATAGGGGAGAGGTTTCTTACTTTACAAGAGGTGGGGATGGTGAAGGGTTGTTCCCAGGAAACACTGTACACTCCAGAGGGAAGCCAAACTGCTACCCCACACCTCCCAGGATTGTAGTGTTAAAATCCAACCTCTCCTTGGTGTTCTGCTAGCACCTTCAGGCTCCTTGAGGAGACACACAGTCACAAGCTTTCCCATCTGTGCCTGCATCCTATCCTATCCTCTGAAACAGGATCAAAGGCATGGAGGGGGCAGGCAATGCTGCTTGGTGCACCATTCACTTCCTATTGGCAATTTCCTAGGCCAAGAGGGCATCATGCCATATTGAGCAGCTGTTCCCCGCTACACCTCCTCCCAACCAAGGAAGCTCTGGCTGCACAGTGTCCAGTGGAAAGGCTTCTCGGGGGGCAGGGGAGGGGTAGCACGTAGTGGAGCTACTTGCTCCTAACTTTTCAAAGCTTGTGTCCGCTTCTACCAGTTTAGCTCCTCACTACCAGCACAAGTGAGAGAGAACTTCCAGCCCTAGAGTCAATATTTATTTCATCTTAATGAGGTGTAATAACATACTATAATCTGCAGGTCAATATTTAGTCAAACATGCAAGGGTAAGTTGTCAACATTCAGACAGCAGAGCCATTCTTTGTTAGTTTCAGACAGCTGAGATAGTGCAAACTTTCAGTGTGGAAAAAAGTGCCCTGTAGTTATAAGAGTGGGTGGGTTATTCTAATTCTCACTTTGCACTCTAGCCAGTGTCATTCTTATTCAAGTTTTTTTCAAAACTCAAAATTATCATAAACAAAATGTGTATAGACCTTGAGCAATCAGTTAAATTGCACTATCTTGCAATCATTGCTATGACCAAACAAGCAATTTATGTGCAAGACGGAATCTCCAGTACTAATGTTTTGTATAAACAAGATTTGATGGCAAGTCTAATTGTGAGGAAAAAAGGGACTGAATGCTTTCATGTATTACCTTTTGTCCTGGCCGACCAGATTCTCCAGGTTCTCCCTAATTGAAAGATTAAATAAACAAACAAATAAGCAACCACAAGATCAGACAAAGTGAAAAAAAAAACTCAGGGTCGTAGAAGAGGAGAAAAGAGTTGTGGCATTAAGTGACAGGGATTCTGCAAAAAATGACCACTATAAACACAACATTACCTTAATTCCTGCAGCAGAAGATCCAGGATCACCCTGATATAAAATTCCAAGGAAACAATGATCACACTTATTATGTACATATATTTTCAGGAAATTGATAGTTCAGGAAACTAACAAACACAGGCATGATTATCCTGGAACCTTCTCAAAGTACCTCTCAATTACTGTAGCAAGATTAAATATGTCTTGAGACACTGCATACCAATTTGACCATTGACAATAAGTCAGTATTATTCAAAGAGAAACAATTCTGCTTTCAAAGAAATGCAGATGTGGGATTTGCTTTCCATTTATCCAGACAACATAATAACCTATTCACTTGTTTGAAAAGTTTTACAACCAATAATGTAGTTGCTGTAACAAAAAGGAATTTTAAAGAGATGTGTAGTGGGAAGCTAGAGTATAGTGCTATGCCTCTTCATGTTTTGACATCCCCAAGTCTATGACACATTCAAAATTATTTGCCATATCAAAGAGCATCACTGGTCCTTTGGGTCCACAACTACAGATGGCAAGTCTCAGGCCTTAATTGACAAAGCTTTTGTGTTAATGACATTCAACCTCAAAGAATCCAGTGACCCATTAGTTTATCTTGTTTAACATGTCAGACTATCCATCTCTTTTCCACAGATTTTCGCTGTTTTTATCTTGATGCTTTAATGCACTAAATGTTGTAAGTAACAGAATGTCAGATGAGCTGAAATTTATTTGCTCAGGAAAGGTCAGTTCTGATGAAGCAACTAACTTTCAAAGAGGTTCTCCTGTGTTTTGCTCTGAGTGTCTGGGTTTGATAGGACTTGCCCAAAGTCACAGAATCAGCCAGTGGCTACGGCAGAGTGCTTCTGGTTCTCAGTTCTTTACTAGCCTTTGTAGACTTCTGAAAATTCCTGTACTTTCATTTCACTGCACCTTGTCTTCAATGGAACACCAAAGTAAAGTGGAGGAAGCTAAATTATTAAATGCTATTTCTCACTTGAAAAGTTTTGCTAGTCAACTTATTCATGTAAATAGGTCAACCCTGTGAAAACTGTAGAAGTTGTTTACAGAACCTGTATTTGGACAGTTTCCTTATTATTATTATTATTATTATTATGAATTACGATTGATCAAGAAAATTAAGAGATCACTGTGCAGTAAGCTTACCCTGTGTCTTAAAGCAGAATGCTACTGATGCACATACTGAGTAGAATAGCTAATATCTGTAACAGTAACATCTTAACAGATGTTAAGCACAGTATAAATGCTAAGTATTATTATTATAGTCTTGCACTATATAAAACAATAAAATGTAAACTACTAGTATAAAAACACCAGTTTTTGATTAGCTGTCCTGTGGTTCAGTAAAGCTGAATGAAGAGCCGTGGTGATTTATATTTTAAAAGCCTGGTTTCCTTTTCATAGTTATTGTAACTCTCTCTTCAGAGGGCAAAGAGAAAACAAAAGGCCATTTTCTGAAAGGCTGATTCATGTCTGGAAACCTGAGCGGTCTCATTTTGATAGACATGTATGAGTGATATTGCTGTTGTCCCTCACAGCACGTACAACTGTGAAATCTCAAGGACTTTTTAATAGCTATAAAGTGGCAAAGCAACTGCTGAGAGACAGTCACAAGTTAAACATTTTAAGGGATAACACTGGAAATAGCACAGATAAGACACAAAGTGTTTATGATCCACTTTCATTCAAGAATGAAAACTAATACAGGATAAAGTAAAAACCATGTAGCTAGAGCGTGTTCTCAGTCCCTCACTGAGTCAGCTGGATTGGAAATGAAAGAATTTCAGCAGGAGAAAACACAAATGGAAAAGTACTTCAAGGGGATTTTGGCTGCTTGAGAGGCCAATGGCTACAGCAGGAGAATGGAAGCAAGGACTAATGAGTGGTTTCCATTCCCAAGTCTGCCACTGACTCTGTATGTGACCTAAGACAGCTCACTGATGCCAGCGTTGTCAAAATATACGCACCTAAGTCTATGTTTATGTAGTAAGATCAATGGGAGCTGTGGATGTGCATCATCTGTGGAAAATGACACTACTTTCATTTAGGTGCATAAATATGGGTATATGCTCCTAACTTTAGGCACCCTGGTTTGAAATTATCATCTCTTCACCTCTCTGTCTCAGTATCCCCATATATAAAATGGGGATAAATAATACTTACCCATGTCACAGGAATTGTGAGTCTTAATGTTTGAGATCTTTGGATAAAGATACTATATAACTGCTTATTATTAATTATTATTATTTACTGCAATGGTTTATGTATTGTTCATTCAGACAACATTTATGGAGGTTTACTGTATGGGGGCGTGGACAAAGGGAGAGGTCTGGGTGAACTGGCTCTAATCTTCTTTCATCTCTGAACCTTATTTTTGGTTCAGATTAGTCTTGATAAATCATTCCTGCACATCCAAAACTTCCGTGGTTCCCTCTTTTCTCAGGCTCAAAGACCCCTCCCCATGCTACCTTGAAAAAAGAGGCTCAGTAAGTCCGTAAGCCTCACTGCCGCTCAAGTACTGCTCCAATGCTTTGCCCTAGTGATGTCCTAGAGTGCACCAAATGTTTCAGAAGCCCAAGAGTCATCCAAATATCCCATGTTCCGAGACTTCTGAGGCATATGGTGCATCCTGGCTTAGATATAGCATGCATAACTTTGACCAACACCCAATATTAAAGGTGCAGCAGAAAGGACAGTAGAGAGATATTCTGGAACACAGTGCCAACTGCTTCTATCAGGGCAGGGGGAAAAGGAGAGGATTTCCCATACACCCATCAATGGCTCGAGGAGAGTGTGAAAGGCTTCTCATGGCACTACCCGAAATTCCTGCAACTATGTTGGAAGAGAAAGCCACAGAGCTCCCGCCTGTCTCCTGAAGACGATCCTGCCATTGACGGGGAGAAGTGACTGATGGATTAAGAAAGGGAAGGAAAACAAGAGCTATTTGGTGAGTATGCTACTGTTGGCTGTTCCTATTAGGGGGCAGCAGTCATCGTGATTTTTTTCCTCTGCAACCAACACAATTAACAACCACTGGGTCAAATTCATCTCTGCTATAAGTATAATGACGGTCAAAGATAGTGCAAGTCACTGGAGCACTAGCCACAGGAGCACTGCTCCTAACTACACTGGTGTAATTGTGGAGTAATTACTCTGACTTCAGTGCTTACTCACTCCTAAACTTCCACACCAAAAATATATTCTCCTAAACTCCTAACCAAACAGTCCTCCACTGCAGAGTCACTCTGCAGGACATAATCAGAGAAGTTCTGTGGCCTTCTCATATACCTTCACAGATCTATGGGAAGCCCAACTCCTATCATGCAGCAACTAGCCTGATGCTGGTAAAGTAATGAGACCTGTACAAAAACTATCTATCCATCCCCATTTCACCCCAGTACTCCAGACAATTACATGAAACTTGGAAGTGGTGGGAGCATTATATGTTTCAGAGGTTCAGTCAATTCAGTTAAAGTTTTTCAGATGAACATTCAAAAGGCCATCTGCTGACCTATCTTTTCTAAAAGTTCTTCCCAACTAGAATACCAAACAATTTGAGGTCCACACAGAAACACACACAATGTTTGGCTTTGGAAGGATAAATTCCCAACAGAATGAGGAATTGATTTTTTTAGATTTTTTTGTTTTCACTTGGACACATGCCAAGTACTTCAGTAGCAGACACAATTGAAGAACAATTACTGAAGCGTCATAGGACTCACAGGAGAGATTCTGAACTTCTATTTTAGCTGCTGTTGGACCTTAATATTGTTTCATGAACATATACATGACCTATTTATCTGATCTACTGTTCCAATGATTTGGCTAAGCATGACATTCTCAGGACATAAAAAATGTCTCTAGACATGCTACTAGGTCTCTCAGGAAAATAGTTATGAAATCAAACTGCATATATTTTTGAGTAATAGAATAATAATTTAAATATTCAAAAATAGATAGCAATGATTCCTGGCCACTAGAGACCAGACATGCCAAACTTGTGATAAAAATGCAGAAATTGGGCTTGTTTTTGGCTTAATTGACTTGTAAGATGCTTGTTGGCTAGTTTTTGGCTTGTAGCTTGTTGCTTCTTTTTTTTTATCTGCTCCCAGCAAGCGGGGGCAAGGGGCAAGCAGAGGCAAGGGGAGAAGAGAGTCAGGGGGCACACAGTCAGGGTGCACAGCAGGCCCACCACAGTCCCAGACTACACGATGGGGGGATATAGTTACAGAGTGTTGGGGTTCTTAGGGACTGGCTTATTTTGGCCTTGTTTTGAAATGGGATTAGCTTGATTTTTGGCTTATTGTGGAAGTCGGGGTGCTTATTTACCACGTGAAAGTTGGCAACCATGCTAGAGACATGGACTAGATTTGAATTTATTACCTGCAGGTATGATTCTCTATTTTTCCCATTCCTCTTAAACCATAAAATCTGTCAGTGGTAACAATCTCAGCTTCCCGTTTCTCAGTCATAATGCACATGATATATAAAATCACCCATTCTTTGGAGACTTCTGAAATATGGTACCTGAGGAGACTGAGCTGACGTAAAGGCATGGAAGCCAGATCTTTAGCTGTGTGAAATAACAAAGATCTGAAACATAATTTTTAACTTTCACTCTGAATTTTCAAACTTTTGGGGGTTTTGGTCAGCCACTTGGATTATGTTTTCAACTGTATGCCAGATTGCCTTGGCCCTTCCTTTGGAAAAGAATGTGGAAGGGGATCAGTTTCCCCTTACAGAATTTTTTTTTCCGATCCAGTCAGAGGGCAGCATTCCCCACTCTGAAAAAGTAAGGGGTTGGTCCTCTCAGAACCCTCAGATCTCCTGAGATCCCTACTAATTTCAGGGATCTGTTGGGGACACTGGGTCTCTGTATGGGGGTGCTGTGCCTTGGCACATCTCCCTTAGCTCCAGATCTCCAGCAGTGTGGTTAAGTGGATCTACCTGGCATGTAAAGAGGCATGTCCTGGGAGGGAAGTGGGGACTGAAGTACCATCTATAGGGAGACCTAGCTGCTGCTCCATGTCCTGGTTGTAGAATTCTTCCCTCTCAGACTCAGAGGAACTCCCCAATGCACATCCTGAGTACTCAGGCTGTACACTGCAGCTAGGATTTTGGACCCAGATTTTTAAAGGTATTTAGATGTTGCTGCCAAACTATTATTGACTGTTGATATGATTTTGGTTCATAAGTCTCTTACTGCCTTTTGAAAATCAGATTTATGTTCTTACACCAGTTAGGCATTGCAATGCTGAACGCAGCAATGTCTTTGGCCTTAATACTCAAAACTTGCATCATTTACCAAACAGACATAACAAGAATATCTGATAGCTTGTGATTCAAGTTTCTGTGTAATGCATATTTAGAGGTTTATAAAAGATGCACTGTCAGGTCTCATGTTTTAACTACTGTAGCATAAGCAGGCCCTCTGTACTTAATTAGAACTGCTGAGTTTCTGCTATTTGTGAGAATGAGTCAAGGTCAGACCATTCAACCTTTTAAAAAGTCTCTTTGTATATTTTCTTTTTGGTATCATTCCCCTTTCATCTTCTGGTTATATTTTATGGCCTTTAAAATATCCTTTCATCTCTACTCATTAATAGATGTACCTTTTCACCCATGTCACCTTTGGGTCCGTTTTCTCCAGCATCACCCTAAAATTAAAAAATATATATATTTGCAGTGCTGTTTTGCAATTTTTAAAATAATTTTCATGCATTCACAAAGTATCCAGAAATAACTTGCAACTTGCAAACACTATTACCAGGCTAACAGTTTTAATTCACCAGCCAGAGTCTATAATAAATGACCAAATAAATAAATGTATTTACCTTACCACCCTGTCTCTCAAATAAATGTAATAAGACATTTACAACATGAACTCAGAGTCTTCATTCAACTTAAATCCACAGGAGGAGAAAAACATGATTTGATATATTTCATTTGGATTTGTAGTCTGAAATATAACTTACACAACTGTTATATTTGATCACTGATAGGAAAGGTATTTCAAAGTTATAAACCTCTTCAAAGTTCCTTGAGTAAATACAAACTGTCATGTCATTTCATCTTCTTGTTCATTTAGTCTACAGACATCCCCAGTTCATTCTGGTTCAGTGACAAAGGAATGATTTTATGATGATTCAGCATTAGGAATAACCAGTAAATATTTTTCACCACAAAGTCATTGATAGACGCATTTGATCAAACAGAGTTGGCAATTACTGGCTTCCAATACATTTTTATTATGATTTTGAAGCAATTCATGATATGCTCTTTGAATTTCAAGTATTTCCCCATGAATCAGTGTGAAGCTAGCAAAACTTAACTAAAATATAGAATAAGCTACCAAAACCATTCATGTCTCCATGTAAATGCTAAGCATTACTCAAAGAGGTAATGTTGAAATAATACTCTTGTCATTGCCTGGGAGAAAATGTCCCTATTTAAAAATTGTTGATAGCTTTTTTAAAGAAATATTTTAAAAGCTTCACCTGTACAGAAAGGCTGAATCCTAATTTACACTGACTCACCCCTTGCTGGCCAGAGAAGTGTAAAAGGTGTAAATGAGAATCAGGCCCAAAGACTTTTGCAGGCTTCTGAGTTCTTGAAAGAGAGGGTTTTTTTTAAAATATTTTTTTCATCAACTAAAATTTGTTGATAAATACTATTGGACCAAAGAGTGTACCAGTGAACCCATGTCAAACACAAGGAATTCTTATACAAGTAATGGATGGCTGTCATTTATAAAATATTTGTTAAGGAATTCTCATTGCTTTTGAAACCAGTTTGGAAATTTTCCTGACTAGGATCATTAAAAAAGTTGCCCAAATAAAACAAACAAAAAAAACCTTTTAAAAAAGGTATGGCCCAATCCTGGCCTCCCACCCCATCTGCTTATGTAGCTAGTTGGGGATGATTCTCTATGCCATTTCCCTCCTGGCCCAAGTATAAGGTGCATTTCAGGATTTTCCTGAGGTCTGGATGGCATGTAGCCAGAGAAATTTACTCCTTGACTAGCCCCATTGTTTTCAATCTATTACACTGCTTCAGGAGAGTAAAGGGAGGCTCGGTTCTATAAGCCTTGCTCATGTAGAGTAGCACTTTCTTATAGGAGAAGTCCCATTAGAATTCTGCTCTGATAGGACAGAATCAGACCCATAGTTACTAGTACTGTGGGGACGATTCTGATCTGTGATATTATACTGGTGTAACTCCATTGATTTCTATGGAGTTGTTCCTCATTGATACCAATGCAAGTGAGAACAAGTAGCGCATTTGTGTTCCTGTCCTTTTTCATGCAGTCTAAAGTTGAGATGGATGGGCCATCCATCCTTATTCTCACCCTTATTCTCTCACCCTTATTCAAGTAGAGCTGGGCTGCAACAGAGAACTCAACATGAGTAAAATGAGATATCACTGTCCTATCTGACTGCCTTTCCAAGAAACTACTGCCCACAGACACTCACAACACCAAACCAAGTAATGCAAACCAGCTTGCTTTTCTGTTCATTCAAAGCAGGAACATTCTTTAAAAATACTATAATATCAGAGTCCACCTGTGCAGCCCTAGCATATATTAGTGAGCACATACAGGACTCACATGAGTAGTTTCATTAAGTCAATGAATTGTTTGCATGAGTAAGTGCTACTTAGCCCCAATAAAGGGTTCCACAAGAGGGTCCACAGTTTTGTCAGTTCAGTGACTGAATTCTAGTTAATAATTTTTAACACAGCAGGTTGTTGTTTTTTAACAGATCAGTCCTCACTGCTGCCTGTGCATTCACAATTCTTCAAAACAAGATAAACACAGGGAAAGTGAAATATGCCTCACCTTTTCTCCTCGTTCTCCAGGGTCACCCTGATCAAAAGAGTAGGAACAAAGAAATCTTGACGTTATTAAGATGATGTCATTAGATAACTCAACAGAAGAGACATTAGATAACATATTTAATGCAAGACACTGTAGAGCAGCTGAATTTCATTTAATATTACAGATTATTCAATAGAAGAAGCCATGTCAGAAAGGATTCAATACTATAATCTGATGGGCTGCATCAACACATTACACACAGTGCAATGCAAAAGGCTGGTCAGTTGTGTGGAAGGCTCATCTTGGTTTTTCACTCTGGATTAAGGGAAGTGAGGAACAACTTCATGGCTCTGTGAAGCCACCCATTAGGACCGAGAGGAACCAGAGGGAGATGTGCCAAGCCCACCTTACTCTGGAGGGACTGAGGGAGAGAAGAAAATGAAAAAGAGAGCGGTCCTGAGGTTTGGAGAGGAGTTTGGAGGACACCTAATGAGAAACAGAAACCCCTTAAATATCTTGTCTAGATTCATAATCTGGTAGAGAGCAAAAAATGCTTGCAGAATTCTATATAAAAAAAGACAGTTTATAGCCATTACTTTTTAATTACACTTTGTGTGAGAAGCCAGTACAATGGCAAACCCCTTTCATACACTGAATCTGACCCTGGCAACTCATCTCTGTATTTTTGACCATTCTAGCTTATCCACACCACTTTTGATGGTTGCTTGGCAACTCCAAGAATACTGCTGTGAATATGAATTAAGCAATAACTGCAAATACTTTGCATTCACTGAGTATAAAACAAGAAAAGGGTATGCCCCAAATGGCTTGTTTTCTTTCCTGATGGACAAGCGGCAAGTCAGTACATTTTAAAGACTATCCTGGCTAGCTGTCAATAGCAATGTGATCTGTAAAATCAGCTGAGAGGCATATGTGCCCGCACAGACACACAGACACAGCTGATGGGATTAGAAATTGGTATTATCCTTTCTGAGAGGCCCAACAATCAAAGCATTTTGGATGTGTCTGATTTTTATTCAAACAAAGTTATCAAGTTTTGTGTGTTCAATTTCATCTGTTCGGAATCAAGTAAGGAATAATAATCAAAAAAATAAATGCAAGGCAACATTTTCTTTTTGCCATAACTATGGACTCAAACCTTCTCCCACTCAAGTTTGCTGTTAACTTCCAAAGAAGCAGTCTCAGACCTCAAGATTTAATCCTGACATTCATCAAAGAATTGACTGCAGTATTTCTTAAAAAAGGGTCTGAAATGCATTATGAGAAGCATAAACAACACTATGTAAACAGGTTTCCAAATTCCTAAACGCTTGCATCATATTTGCCTTGCAGTGCACATATACTCGTCACTAATGTTGATTGGAACTATGCATGTGCAGCAAAAGAACATGCCCCTTTATGGTGAAATGTTTAAAGTCTCTTAATACCACTTAGCACTGTAGAGAGGCAGAGCCTATTACAAATTAATCATGATATACAAATCAAAAAGCATGACACTATCATCCATATACATACCTGTACTGTGCTTTATTTTTCAGTTGGTTTTCTGCACTAACCTTAAGCCCTGGTGCTCCGCTTTCTCCCACTTCGCCGGGCAAACCTGGCTCACCCTAGAATGACAACAAATAAAGACGTGGTGTTAAGAAAAAGAAGATGAAGAATATCAGCAATATTCCACCTAATGTCTCCTATTGGGTTTGTAGTAGTGATGGAGAAACCTCAAAAAGGGTTCAATTTGGATAAGACCCCAAAAGTTGGGATGCTAATATGAAGCTTGCTGAACCTCTTGGGGCTGATTATGATATCATTTACTCCTGTATAAATCAGGAATAACTCTACCGAAGTCAGTGGAGTTACAATGGTGTCATATTATCCTCAGAGGAGGATCAGGGCCCTTGAGTCAGCAAAACTGGCCATTATCCTCATACATCTTTCTAAGAAGATTGCTAGCATGTCCTCCTTCTCTTTGGCCTGGAAATAGCACAATAACGGCCTTTTAAAAAAAAGTTATTTTGGTACTTCTGGAGGAGAGATGTGCAGAGGCATGTGAAAACCCATGACAACAAATGTTAGCTTTCAAAAAGGTCCAATTCTAGAAATGTGATAGGTTTTGGGAAGTAGAGTGTTGTTTTTATTTTTGAATATGGACTTGTTTGCCCAACTCTCATGGCCTGAAACTGAGGATGGAGAACCAGGAGGTGCTCATTCAAAGATGCGCAGGTTGGGATAACAGTAATTAGCTAATGCTCAGTAGTGTTTGCTTATTGTGTAGGCAGTGTAAGGTTATGAAACCCAACCACTTAAAAGCAAGGAAATGTCTGAATGGTAGGTAAGAACATTGTAATTTACAAACTTTAATTGTTTTTTTTAAACACTTTTTTTTCCACTTTATGAATTTCCCATGTTTTCCCCCCTCTGTGTAGATAAATAAAGACACCATTTAAAATTTTTTAAATAAAAGTGATGGAGAGGTCAACCAATTATTAAAGAAATTAGTGGTGCTGGCCAACCTAATAATGTCTCCTACAGAACCCTGCCTCATTCAATCACCTAATAAGGTATACATGTTCCTCAGATAACCTTTAACCACATGCATGCATAGCACAGCTTACCTTCACTCGACTGTTGATCAAACATGTTCAAAAGGCATAGAGGTCAAGATTTTAAAAACATATATGTACAAAGTTAGCTCGTAAATCTATATTTAGGTACCTAAATAAAGTGGTCTGGTTTTAAGAAGTGCTGAACACTCATCAGCTTCCATTGTAGCCAAGCTAGAGACAGACACTAACATAACACAGGGAACTGAGCTGACCAAATAATAATAATAATGAAAAAAAACTGGGAAAATTTCTTCAGACTTTGCAGAAATATTCTCTTCTGCCTTCAGAGAAAATCTAGCAAAAAACAAACCAGTTTTGCAAGTCAAAGTTAGAGGGCAATTAAAATGGAAGCTGCTTGCAACCACAACTACTATGGAGAGATTCTACTTTTCCAGAACACAATCTTCCATTGCCAGATGCTTTTTCCATCCCTAACTGCTATGGTCAGTTATAAACCACAGCTCTGAAGTACCCATTCCTCACAGTCATGTAGCATTCTATTTCTGAACTAGGTCATAAAAAAGGTGGGATATGTTATGATTATCAAGAGTTGGATAATTTGAATAATACAAAACAAGAATGTTGAGATTCTCCCAAAAGCATTTGTGACATTAAGGAGGGATGTTTTCCAAGCAGGGAGTGAGGAATTAGCCATCAGAGCACCATGATAGTCACAGAGAGTTATATGGCCAACTTGGGCAATTTATTGTCAATATTTTTAAATGGGTTCAGCTTTAGATTGCCAATTTTGGTTGGATGAATTGCCGGAGGTTTCATCACATGACATAATCTTTAATTAAAGATTTATCTTTAATTCCTGGAGACTTCAGGACAAACCTGGAGGCTTGGAACCCTACAGCCAGCTACTGTAGCAATTAAATCTGATCTATCAGGAAGCTAGGATTTAAATGTACTGGCTATCAAACATCCATGTCCTACAAAGGGACAATCTAAAAGTCACTTAAAGAGAACTGTCATTTGAGACACTGAGATGGAATGAGCACTTGTATATTTACTCATTTCTCCACCCTTCCAAAAAACAAGTCATTGTTCATTTCTGTCCCCTTCACTTTAAAACAGCTGTTGTCTGCTGACACTTGCCAAGGGCTTAAGTCTTTAATCAAAGTATCAGGGTTCCAAGCCTCCACCTTCTTCCTAGGCCTGCACATCAGTGGTATTAATGCCCATAGTTATTGGTATGGTAAAGAGAGGCTGCATAAGTAGAATAGAAAATTCATCTGATTTTCCTTGAAGTGAAATGAAATGCTGAAGCTTTTATCGAGTTATAATAAATCCCTCCTAAAACAAAACTCCATCTCTGACCCCCCCTGTGGGTTTCTATAATTTACTCTGCCTAAGCCCTGTGCTGGGTTTCCAGGGTGGTCGGTACCAAGTGAGAGAGAGCTATGGGGGAAAGGAGAAACTGAAAATATATCTGGAGGGACAGCACATGAATAACATACATTTGAACGGATTATCCTCCTCTGAATTTAATGGCCAGCATTGCAGGGATTATCTCATGTTCTGATTTTTTTTAATACACACAATACCCCCTCTTCAATTTTTCATCGTACTCTTTTCCAGGAGCCCATTTAGTTTTCTGAGAGTCTTGATGGGTGAATCAGCTATGATATTGTTGATTATTCTTAGCACCATGCACACGTGAAATCTCAAAAACTTGGCAGCAAACTCAGAGCTATCAGTACCCTCACCCAGCTAGTTTGTATCATTGCCCTGTACTAAACTTTCCTAGACATTGGCCCTGTACCCTAGTGCAAGCAACTAGCTACATCTCTCCTGCAAGTGAGAAACTAAAGACCTCCCCTACCCCTGCACCTTTTTACAGATAATAATTCAGTCAAGTATTGGGGTGCTCCAAAGGCTTATTTTACTAAGCTATTCCAAAACTCTTGAGCTGAACGATGGTGTGACCATACAGGACAGGAGTGCCTTACATCAGCGGGGAGAGAAGGGCATATGAAAATTGTTTCACAGCCCACCAAACTGAGGGCCAGCCCTGCAAAGAACCTAGTAGAAGCAAAGAGAAGACAACCACAACAGGGGGAAAATGGCAGAAACCTACAGTCTGGCTGTTTCTAAGGAGTATTGGGTAATGCACTACGAAGAGCAGCAGAACACAAGGGAACTTTGCAAGTTGCAACTTTTTTCTAGGGGAAAGTCAAATCTCAAAGTGGGACACTGTCACACAATCCATTACGGCTTGTGTGATCTCTCTATACTATGGACCACATTTTGCTCTTCAGTTGCATCACTGGCACCGGGGGTAGGATCTTGCCATATACACTGATGGTTTTTAACGTTTCTGTTTTTCAAAGTCTTTCAAAAAACAAAACAAAAAAACCCCCAAACCCCGACAACATTTCAAACACTCAGTTGATTAGGAAATTCCACAGGTAGTTATAAAAGCAAAACAGCAGCTGACATTTTAAATGTAGATAGATTGATGGTGCTTCCTCTGCTATACCTTAAAACACAACATTATTTCGAGTTTATTGGTCCCAACTGACCATTTTAGTAGTTAGGCTGAAAATAATGTTGAATGCCTTTGTTACAAAGTATGGCTTATTACTTTATATTTTTTTTTAACCAAAACACATTTTAAAACCATAATGTAAAACACTGCTTGGGTCTTTTTCAACCATTCAAGTAACTGTTTCAAAGAGAAACAAAAGATTTATGTCATTTTTAAGGTGGAAAAGTGGTTACACCATTTTTTAAGGAAATGAGGCACCAAAGGAAAAATTGGTCATTCAACAGGGCTATCACATGCAATAATTTCAATCAGATTGTTTTTCAACTTGGCATTGGTAAAATGAAGAAAGCTGTGAATTTAAATCTTTAATCACAGATAATTTGACATTTGCTATGCTGCAGTGGATGTGTTTCCTGACTAGTGCTGAAGTCTATCCTTAACAAAGATGATAACAAAGATGTTAGATTGTGGAAATAGTTGTCTTCTGTATAACATTTAGCTCTATAATTTATTCAGGATTTGGGGGAGGGGGTTCCACCCCCCAAACAGTTACTCTGTTCAGAGCACATTCCAAAGTTTAGGTAATGGCCCGCTCTTTTTAAACTTCTGGGGGGAAAAAAGGCACCATCATTCTAAGGGGGGAGCGGGGACTACCAAGCAAACATAACATGTCCTATAATCTTTTAGTGCATAAAATATAATCCAAGCTCTTAATTAAAGTAAGAATGAGGACTGTATTGTGTCCTCACATGGAAGATGGACATAGGGCCCAGGAAACTCTGTAAAGTCACCCCTGGAGACTTCTCTTGTAATCCTTTCCCTGCAGGGAGGGGCTCCGGGGATTGCAGAGGAAGCAGTATTGCAGCTTCCCAACCCCGTGTGGATCCAAGGGAATCTCCAGCTCCAGTTCTTCCGCTCTGCTTCTCTGTTCCACACCCAGCTAGATGGCTTCTTCAAAGCTATGCTCCTATTGGCTACTAATGCTATGCCTACGACAGAACCACCCTGTCATATGCAGGAACAGCATCTTAGCAAACACTGCTTCTATTAGTATTAATGTGGGCTGGGATACGCCCTGCCTCTTGAAGTGGGTTTTGCAGCTCTGTGGAGCCCACTTGACACAGTAGTTCGTAGAGAAGCTTCCACAATGTCCAGCAGCAGATGTCATGGTGCTGGTAGCTTCTCTGCTGCGCACACCTCCCAGCTGCTGTCAGTTTTGTTTGATCTGGTGTCCTTGCAGAAGCAATGGTGGCAATCAGGTCCACAGAAAACATGTCCCAAGACTGTAAACATACAAATACTCCTTCTAGAGCAAAAGTGCAGTTTTAATATCCTTTAACTTTTTTTGCATTACCAACCGTACCACTTCCTAGCCTTTAAGAACACAACATTCACCTCTAAAGAAGGATCATATATTGAAAAAAAAAATGTGACTGCCTATACAAAAGACAATGAAATATCAGAAAAAGTTCATGGGTTGCAGTTATTGTTTTTCAAAAATTAATATCAATGT